CTGTATGTGGTCTTGAGAACACTAAACTGAAAATGAAAAATTTTACTACTGCCTGAAAGCATCTCAGCTGTGTGACTGGTAAGGCAAAGCAGATAGATCATTCACAAATGTTGCATGTCATTTCAAAAGCAGCATGTTTCTTCATCACTTACCAAAGAGAGTTCTTCTCTTGGTGATCTTAGTATGTTGTATGATTTGTGGACAACAAAATATTTAGTTTTTAGTTTTGGAATACCTGTTATTTCTTCCATCTATGGCTTTATTTTTCCTCTCTAAGGGGACCAAGGCACATCAAAGCACAGTATCAAAAAACACTAGCTGAGTCTGATCCCCATGTGAGTTGCTCCGAAAGTTGGTTCAAGTCTTTGAATTTTATTCTGAGCAGACTTAGTCCTCTCCTATGTGTTTGTTCCACCACAGATCTGATACCATATAGGTCATATGAAAATATGAAGGATGCTGGGTTTTTACCTACTACTATATTTGCGTCAATCTTGGCTTTAGGGGTGGATTAGTTAGCTGGTTATTTGTGCTGGAGGGCCCTTGGTGAGTAGTGGTGTAGCTGTTGCTGTGAGGGAAGGGATTGGTTCACGCTGTGTGGCTGTGGACAACTGACTTTGTATTCTGAGTCATCTCCCAAAGGTGCCTACCTCTCTCTCTCTCTCAAGGCTAAACTATGAACTTGTTTCCTACTTGGGAGTTCTGAATTATAACTATGTTAAATACTTAAAATGTCATAAAGTGAACAAAGTAAATATCCTCCCTGGATTAGATTCAAAGAAACAAAAAAGGCAATAAAGATTTAGAAGGAGAGAAGGAAATAGGTAAAATAAGAAACAGACTCTGCTATTTTGTGTGTGCAGTGTTCACACTCACCAGTGTATATATTTGAGATGACTCAGGTTTGGTTTTGAGAGTTGTGCCCTCTGAGGAATAGCAATTTATGCCATTTGTCACTTCTGCCAGGTAGCTCATGTCTTCAACTACCATGGCAGCCTTGCAGGGGCAGTTTTTGTCATACTGGAAAGTTTTCTTTGGAATGTATAAACTTGGGTTTTTTCACTTTCCCCAGCATGAAGGTATATGTTTCCTTGCCTTCATATCGTGTAAATAAAATTTCAGTCTCTACTTCCCTTAATGGTCAGCAGGGTAGTAGTGTGTGTAATCAAAATATGTTCCTCAACATGTTTAGTTTTCTGGAATGCTCAGGTTTTGCTAACAGATTTTCAAAATACTATACTCAATCCTCATTTCCCCTGACTGCAGAAGAACCCTTTGAACTGCAGTCCTTGCAGTGGTTAGTGGCCGTGGCCAGCGACTTTTGGTCTTGCAAATGGATTTTCCACGTCAGGCATGGAAGTTTCCTCATTTAGCCTCAGAAATGTGACAGGGCATGTAGGTTCACTCAGCAGCAGAGGATGTTCTGATGCAGTCACTTTTCATGTCCTCACAACTGGAAGAAATAGAGCTGGGGCACTTTTTCCACTCTGCAGCCTCGGAAAGTAACCACTGAAGGAGATGAAGGGAGGAGGTAAAAGTGTCTGTGGCAGCAGTTTTTTAATCACCCAGTCAAGCTGTGCAATTAGTGCTCAGATAAAAATTGATATATTCCCAAATATTTAGAACATTCATTGGTTTTAATGCTCTGGGTTATCCTAAGCATGTTAGAGCTGCTTTTGATTTGTTCTGAAGACTAAGTAGTTAATGTTCAAGGCAGGTGTTGAAACAGTGATGGTTGCCTTTTTTGGAAGGGTCTGTTGAATTCTTTCCAGAAAAAATAGCGTGCTTGGCTCACTTAACCTTGCCTCAGGTCCGTGTAGTGGAAATCCCAACATTGGCAGGCACAGCAGAACTCTGCAGTCCTTTCTAAAACCTGGTAGTGGAACCAGCATTTCAAACAGACTTTAGTATGTGATTAAAAAAATAAATTAAGATAAGCTTCATGTTTATTTAAAGATGTTTACTGTATGATCATTTAGTGAGGATGCTTGTGCCAGACTTTTTAGTTGCTCTGCTTTCTGTCTGTCGGTTCCTCCCTCATAGGACTCAGTAACTTTGATAGGATCTGTCCCTCAGGAAGACATTTGTCATGCTGCAGGATGATGAAAAAGGTTTTCAAGTTTTAATTAGTAATAAATGAAAAACCAAGTGCATTCTGAGGCAGAAAGCTCTTGTGTCAGCAGACGTTTAGTTATCTCATATCTCAAATGAAAAATACAGCAAAAATGCATTATTGCAAAGCAATGCATTTCTTTGGTCATTATATAAAAGGAATATTTTCTGTCATGCTGTCCTCAAATGTCTGAAAAGGCTACAGTGATGCTGCTTTACACTGATGTTGACCATAAAAAATACCAGAAACATTGTGTAAATGAAAACCAATTACTGTACTTACTGGATAAACTGTACGGTTTTTGAGGTAGTTAAGGTTTGTTTCTGAGGGTGGAGTCCTAACAGCTATTCAGTATTCCTGCAAAATAATTACTGCTTAAGTCCTTAAATCCTGCAATTTTCATGCATGGGAGATTTTTCTAGTTAGGGCAAAGCTCTGCAAAAATGTCGCTCATGTCTCTGATGTAAAAGAGCATTGCTACGAGGTGCTGGGTATGTGATCTGGCATGGCCTGGCTTGTGCTGTGGCAGTGTCATCCTCTGAGACTGTACACTTTTAATTTACACAGAATTTAGTGTGGAGCATTTAGAGATGCCCCATGAAATCAATCCAGTGTCATCCTCTGAGACTGTACGCTTTTAATTTACACAGAATATAGTGTGTTAGGAGCATTGTAGAGATGCCCCATGAAATCATCCATGGTGTAGCTGCTTCTAAGTGGTGAAAGTGCAAAGTGAATGCTATTTGCTAAATATATTTTAGAGGTAACCACTTTATTCACCTTTCCTAGTGTTGTAGATTTAGGGGTGGTGGATTTACTGTAATGGCAGAATTTGCTTTCTTATTTGAGAAGTATTGAGAGTATGGTATAGTCTGTGTTACACTGAATAAAGACTTTTTTCATTTAAAGGAAGTGTTTTATATAGTCATATGAAAAACAACAACGGAGGAAGATTATTCAGAATTGAAACTGATGTTAGTTTAAACTAACCATCCTGACAAAAGGATTTCTAAGCTGTTTTTTGTGACAGGTCTTGTCAAATTGAACTCTGAATTACGTGGTCCCTCTCTCAGAGGAGCGGGTGTGATATGTGCATAGTAAATGCTGGCATTATAGCTGGAAGCACAGAGAAGAACTTGGAAATTCATTCCATGTGCTAAAGGATGTAATTTATAGGTCTGCTTTGACAAATATTTGTGGGTGCTAAACAAATTGGTATATATTACCCTGAAATAGTGCTGGGAAAAATAGCTCCAGGAAAGGTAATAATTGGCTGCCATTAGTTAATTTCTGTAATTGGAACCTGACTTTGGATAATCTCTATTAAGTAATTTGTTTTATAAAAGACTTGAGAGATGCTTATTGCAGTTATCCTGCTGCAGTGTGTAAATGATCCCCTGGACAGAAATTGTTATGATGTATTTTTATGGTGTATTGTTACCTCTTCCACTCATCATAGTTTGGCCTTTTCAGTTGGATAAAAAAAAATATTCTTTTACTCCACCAAAGAAATCTGGGTTACTAGAAAGACAGGAAAAGAGAAGGAGGAAGAGAGCAAGAAAGTGACTCAGAGTTCTTCCTGGGATGCTCTGAGGACAACAAAAGAAAAGGGAATGTTATTTCTTTTGTGAAGCCATGTCTACTGCAGTGGTTTGGAAGTAGGGGCTGTGTGCTATAGCTGAACAAACTACAGGGAATGTGTCCAAAGAAATCTTCATTCATGTGTTCACACCTGAAAGCTTATTCGTCTTGCTGTGCTTTTATTCAAGTACATGTTATTCTTGACCTGATGTTTTAGATCTTAATGAAGGTGTGTGTTGAAGGACCAGCCTAGGTAGGGCATGCAGGCCCCAGTCCTTGAGCACCTTGAAGGAAGAGACAGCAAAGTGTATGGATGGGTGATGGCTCCTGAGGTTGGGCAAATGAAGGAATGCTGCTCTCTCATCACTTGCTGTAGGGACCTCTTAAGAGGCAAATGTTGTGGAAGTATTGGCTACATCCATGTGCAGGGACAGGGTAATCAAAATGTTGCTATTGGGATGATAATGCATTGTAGTAAACACAAGTTGAAGCAGGTCCGAAGAGTCAGACCCTCTGCCTCTTTCTGTTCTTGAATGATGCTATTGCCACTCCAGTGACATTGTATTTGAAAATCTTAGGCTTTTCTGCAGAACCTGTTATACTTCTATGCATTGTTTTTCCATGTTGATGATTTTTAAATAATGTTTTAGTTTTTTCCAGTCAAGACCTCAGTTAACGTAGCCTATTTTTAAGAATGTTTCTGAAGATGTGTAACTCATCTGCTTTATGTATTAAACTAAAGTATTTCCTCACTTCCTGTAAAGAAAGCAACAGTAAATATCTTGCCTTTTTCTTTCTTTACTCTGTGTTTCTGTGTTGGCCTTTATGTGTCACTAAGCTTGGACTCATGTTTTTTCTGATTTGGAAGTTCAGTAGTTCCTGGTTTTATTGAGCTTCACATCCTTATCTGCCTTCATTTCCTCAGGCCATGTTCTTATTACTCTCTCCTGTCTTAGATTTCCTCTTGTCTTCAGCCCTCCCTTTGCCCCCACAGTTCATCTCCCCTTGCAGCACCGTGGTTCTACTTGTGCAGCAGTATGATTTTGGAGAGTGACTCAGAGCTCTCTGTTAAGTCAGCTGCCATGTGCACCCCATCCAAGCTGGTGGGCACCTCAGTTTTTTAAACGCATCTCAGAAAAGGAATAATTTTGTGGATGTGAAAACCCGTGATGTTTAGGCATTGTTGGAAAGAAGCTGTAATCACCTTCAGTGACTGCATTTGGGTGTGACAGATTGCATTGCTTAAACATGGTACCTGTCTGTGCAAATAAATATGCTACATTAAAAATGTTTTTCTTCCCATCAGGTGTCTTTGGGTTCCGTTGTTCAGTTTGAGAAGGGAAACTTCTCCTTGTCAGCAGAAACAGAAGAGAAGGTTTTTCCTGAAAAAAATGAACAGCTGCTACAGTGGGCCCAGAAGGAATATGGAGCAGTAACATCTTTCACTGAACTTAAAATATCAAGAAACATCTATATTAAAGTAGGAGAAGGTAAACCAAAACAAAGCCAACAGAATTGATAGACACTTCTAGATGCTGAGAAGAAGTCTTGCTGTAGTATTATTTCACTTATTATTTCTTACAAGAGTCAAAGTTTCACCTTTTAAATGAAATCATCTATTCATGGTGATTGTTTGGGTGTATTCATCTGAAGAACAGAAGTGGAGAACATGAAGGTTGTAATTTCCAGAAAGACCTGAGATATTTTTTAAGTATTTGCTTGTATAAAGATCCAGGCTACTCTGGGCAAAGTATTATTGCTTTCCTCACCAGAGTAAGTTGCTTCAGTCTATCATTGTGTATTTTCATCCCAAGGAGAAAGATTTCCTGTCCCTGAGAGCCACATGCCAAATTCATCAGGTGGCCTAGTGCAGGTGAGAGAGGACTTCAGCTCCTCAGGAGCTTCATAGGCCTATATTAGGGCAGGATTTGGGCTGTAGCTCTGTAGCTGAGTGGTGTTGGAAAAGCATAAAAATATGAGCCTCAACAGCAATATTTCTATAGAAACTCCTGCATAGCTGAACTAGTTGGCTACAAAAAAAATAAAAACCTTCTGTGGAAAAAACATTCTTTCCTAACCACCTGTATCTGATCATTTGATTTCCTGATATATGAGGCTTGCCCCCCAAAATGAGAACATGACTGTGTTGGTTTTATCCAAATCCTGCCAAATTTGTAGAGGATTCCCCTGTGTGATTTCTTTTTTTTCTTGGCCCTGGTCTTGGATTTTTATGCCAGAAAATCATTCAGAAATATATTTATTAACTTATTAAAGTGCTCTTGGAATCTATGCATGGGAGTAGTGGTCTCTGCATTGCAGAGGTGAATATTTGATTAGATACGTCAAAAAAAAACCAGATAAAATTTTGTTTGTTGATTTGCACATCTCCAGTCAAACTAGGTGGCTAAATAGGAGGGTTTTGCATCATCTTTAGAATATGTTAAAACACAATTTAATTACGAGTAAGTGCACAAAATGGAACTTGGCAGGCAACCAAAATAGACAGTTTCTGAGAAGGCTCCTACAAACTAGCTCAGCTGTAACTGTATTGGATGATTTAAATTCTTGGCAGAAGAATGACTATGCATGTATGTGTGGGGGTTGTGCATGTGTTCGGGGGTGGGGAGAGGGTCAGTTCTTGAACTGCAGCAGTTGTGCAAGGATTTCTATGGAAACCATGTGGGATGTGGTCTTGGTCTGCCTCTCTGCAGAGTGAACAATAGAATCACTGGATTTCACAAACCACAGCATATAGCAATGGACATTTCATGCTTTTCATGCAAAACTCCTCAAGTGATTTAGTAAGGTACCCTTAGCTGCCAGCCTGTGAATCACTGCTAGTATTACTCATAATCTATAGGAGGTCATATGAAGTGGCTCCTTGCTACGTGACTGATACAGAATTTAATTGCAGTACTCATATAATTGTGTACATTTTGGCTTCACTCAAGTTAGACAAATCTGAAACAGGAAGATGTAACGTTTTAGAAGTGTAGGCTGTAGCTGAATACAGCAAACAGAAAATGCAAGCCAGAGGACAAAAAGATCTGAAGAAGGATGATCTTTCATAGAATAAAGCTCCTTCTGATGCCATGGGTCTCTGAAGTCACTTTTGAAGCTGCAAATGAAAGGCAGCTGAGAACACTAGCAAACTGGGTCAGGGCCAAGTGCATCTGAATCCTGTTGATTCTAAAGAGTGGCCGATCTAATACTGCAGGGATGGTGAGCACAGCAAGAACTTAAAGGGGCCAGAATGGGGGTGTAGAGGAGGGGGGCACGAGAAGTGGGGCTCTTGTTCTTGCCTTGATTTGTGCAGTGAAGGAGATAGCAAAGTGACTGCCATGATAATTGCTGTCAGATTCTAGGAGACAAGACTGCTCATGGTGGAAGTGGTCTTAGTACATATTTTTCAGCAGAAGTCAGTTTAATTCCTCATGCTTCAGTAAGATATGATTAAACAAGTCAGAAGTGCTTATCAGTGAGCTAAACATTACCTAACGCATCCAGTATCACCAGTGTAAATCCAGGACAAATGTGCTGCCTGGAGGCAGCGTAATTTCAACACATTTCTAAGCTAAATAAGAAAAAACATTCATCAGTCATAACAATAATTACACTGGAAAATGTAGCCTATTTGCAGATAGTAAGACTGAAGCTAGGGCTTCAGTCCTGACTCTGAATTTGTAGCCTGTAGGCACCAGTGCACATATGCTGCATGCCATGCTTGCTTGGTTTGATGCTTGTAGGTGATTGCATTGTGTCCTGCTGTGGGGTGAGTACTGCTGAGAATATCCATTGTCCCCCCAGAGACCACTGTAGCCCTTTCCCTGATGCCATTTCTATCCTGCCATTGAATGTCAATCAGGGTTCTGATCTCAGTTGTGCTAAGGGCTAGTGAACTTCAAAATAGATGTGAGTGAGCCTTGCCATCAGAGTGCCTGAGGAAAATCCCAAATGCCTCACTTATCCCCTGATCAGACTTTGAAAGGCAAGTTCTTCTTGGATGGGATTTTTATTGCCAAATCCAACTGCTGCTGCCCAGCCTGTCTGTCTTGGAGAGTGACACCTGATTAACAGTGTTCATTTGCACAAAAACATCCTCATGACGTTAAGCTAAGATATTCAGGTTTTAGCCAAGAACCTGTGGACGACACCAAATTTTTGCAGAATAGAGCAGATGGTGTCTGTCCTCATTTGTAAAACGGAGGTGCTGCCCACAGAAACTAGAGATCCCAGTGTTGCAATCCTCCATCTCCGTCCAGGCATCCTGGCACACACGGAAGGAGAGGATGGCTGCCGGCCACCGCACGCGGCTCGGCCGCGCGTGTTCTGGCCAACGGGCTCAGTCAGCACTCACCCTGCTGGCCAGAGACCCTCTACTGAGGGTGTTGCAGGCAAACCTCATGTCTGATTCCACAGTGGGAGTCTGTAGAGATTACTGAGCTCAGTGTCCATAAATTGACTGTTTGCTGCCTGGTCTGGTAGTGTTTTTAATTGATGGCAGACACCTGTCTGCCAAGTTCCTTGACCTGAAACTAAAAAAGGAAATGTAGTGAGCAAGGAATGATGAGGTAGATCCCCCTTCTCTTTTCTGTTCCAGCCCAGATTTTGGTAACTGGTGTGGATGAGAGTAAGTAGATTTTGGTGTGTATGTCAAGTAGCCAGTGATAGAGTTAAAATTTGCTGCAGAGGAAAGCGTGCTATCGAGAGGAGGCCCAGGCTGGGGAGCCTCCTTGCTCCTGGCGCAAGAGCAGCAGTTCTGGAGAGCTCCAGAGACATTTAATGGAAGTGCCAGGAGCAAGAGCTGAGTTCTTTGCAATGGCAAATGATAGCACATGTGGTAATTATCCACAAACTACTCAGGGGCTGTTATTTTATGGCCTGAATTGTGTTGTGCAGCAGCTAAGAAGCAAATACCTAATATCTCTGTGTCTTTGTGTGTGTGTGTGTGTATATATCTATATGTATAAAAATTCAAGCTCAGCGTAGACCATTTGGGATCATTTTCCGTTCTGTGCTGTTGTGGGAGGGGCTGGCAGAGCCGCAGCTGCGTTCAAGGCTAATCTTGCAGGGCATGTACCAGATGTTAGAGGAGTGCTTTGCTGGGGCAGTATGAATAGTTACAGCCTCATATAGCTTTTGTAGATTCTGTAGGGAAGACAGCAGGGTTAATACTCAAAGGCTACTTTGTGTTAAATCAGGAGAAGAAATTCCCCTAATTGTTTCTGCAGAGACCAGGGTCACAGGAGTCTCTGGTCTCCCTGCGAAGTTGAGTAGCACACACAAATGTGCTTCAGAGGTGACATTTCAGCTCTCTTTTAGGGAGCCCGTGATCTCAGCTCAGCTTTTAGGAGTCTGTCCACAGTTTCGCGTGTACAATGCTTTCTATTTGATTTCTTTTTGCCTTTTTTTTTTTTTTTTTTGGTATCTTGTTTCTGACCCTAGTAGGAAAAGTCATCTCTGTACAGCAGTGGTCAAAGAACCAGCCATTTGGAATTGCATTCTGACAGGACTTTGCGCCTTTGAACATGGTACTTAGTCCTTCTGTGTATTGTGACAATTCATATGTAAAGCTGTCTCAGAAAGCCAAAGTATTTCTGATTTTCAATAGAAATACTGTTTCTTGGGGTACAGCAATGTAGGCTGTGCATGACAACTTCATACCCAGTGACTGTTTTTTGTTATTTGCTTTGTACAGTAGTTAATGCTCATGATCAGCCAGGCAGTTAAAATCAAAAGAGAGACTGAATATCTATGCTAGAATTTCAGCATTTCAGTTATGGATATTGTGATCAGACTTCTTTAATATCAGCAACTGATTTCATTCTTTTCTTGCTATATTTAATTTTCCATGCACAAGAGAACTGCAGTATTTCTAGACAGCACTGATTCTGGCTACACAATATATAGGGAAATATACTAAGGAAATGGAAAATGCTTTCTGTGATATTTTAAATATGGTAAGTTTATAATAACAAGAATAAAACATTTTCCACAGGGAATAGGAATTGATCACAAAGGTTTTCTCTGAGTAAATTGCAAAAGAAGGAAATATTTTTAAAGGTGCAAGGAACAAATTAAATGTAATTTAATAGTTTTGAAAAATGCTTACACATTTTCCTTCAGTATTGTTTTCAGATTTCTCTTTGTAGGGATTTTCTTTCATTAGACGTTTACATCCATAAATAGAAATTGTTCTGTTTAGAAGTATATATTTCATATCAGAAATGTGCTGTGTTGTTGCAACAATGATCTCCCTGTCAATATAATGTTTATTTGTTGTAAGTGCTTATGGTAGATCAATAGCTATACCTTTCAGCAATGTAGTGCTGCACTGAGGTAGATGTGGTACATACATGCATCTAAGCTGATATCTGTGTTTAAAGGTGCATATGCTTTCTCTTTTTTTTCCTCCTCCAGATCAAGTTTTTCCTCCCTTGTGCAACATAAAAAAGAACTTTCTCTCTTTAAATTACCTTGCGGGATACCTACAACCAAAACCAGCAGAGGGGTGCCTTATGTCTAACTTAGTGCAGGACAGAGAAGTTCATATCATTGAACTAAGCACTCCAAATTCCAATCCAAACAGGTAAAGTATCATCTAAATAGTCTAAAACTGTTTGAAAGCATAGCTAAAGATTTTACCTGTCTATTAAAAATCCACTGACCAAAAAGGTTTAGTGGTTAGGGAAAATAACTCTGTGTATGTGCTACAAGGATTATCTAAACTGTCAAAGGTACCTTGGAAAGGCAAGACATTTAAAACATTCATCCTTTGCTGGTCTCTCTTAGGTCTTAGTGGGAGAACATGAATGGGGTTTGCTTCAGATGGTCATACCCAGAAAAGCTCTTCATGAGTGCCAAGTATGGTTGCTCGAACAGAAATTTGCTATGAAACTTAGATGGTTACAATTTCATCAGAGATAAGGTGGAATTAAAATCCTGTGTGCTTATAGCTAACACCAGATTTCCAGCATTGTCCAGTTGCGCTCCTCATGCAGTTACATGTAGGCACATCCCATCCCTAGTGAGGAAATCATATCAGGAGATGGAGATGTGAGGAGGGGTCCTTGTAAAAAAGGATAACTATCTCATTGCAAGATGTTGAACCCAGAGCCTGACAATATCCTTGCCTAGCAACCTGGGGAGAGTAAGAAAGTGCTGAGATGTAGTGGAAGTGGAGTAGGAATCCCAAATGATGTGCTTCTGTGTGGCATGAGTTGCAGCCCCATCCTGAACAGAACTGATCTTCAGCATCAATATCATTCTAAGTCCCTTGTAGTGTTACGCAATGATATCCCTGATTCCAGGCCCACTGGGCTTTTGGCTTTGGATATAATACAAAAGGAATTTGTTTTTTAGATGATAACACTGCAAAATGTTTAAATATTTTGTTATTAAACGTAAAACAACTGATAAGTTCCTCATGCTTTGTTCTTAGTTTTGTGTGCTATCCACAGCTATCTTACAAAGTTTAAATTCTCAAAGAAACATATAGAAGCTGAGCTGGGTGTGCATAAAACTGCAGGATGTGAAACACAAGTCCCAAGATACACTAAGTCTCAGTGCAGAATATTAGTTGTAACCTGTTACTTGGAGATGAGCACGTTCTTGTGATGTATGGCCCTGTAAGATGATCTGGAAGAACAAGTTCTTCTGTTGAATTGGTATTTTGCACAATGAGATGTTATTGATGGGTACAGACCGATTTGCTCTACTTACTTTACTGAGGTCTTGAAAATCTGGATAGCGTTCATCTATTTTCCAGCAAGCAATATGCTGGACATCTGGGGTTTTTTTTTACTTTTTAAAGTAAGTATATATCCAGAAGTATTGGAAACTGAATACACTGCTTAATTCCTCAGCACACGCAAGATCCTAAGCAAAGTAATTTCCACAATTTAACTGCCTAGGCAGACACTCCACAATATAGTATTTGTGGTTTGATTTGGGTTTGTTGGGGTTTTTTTCATGAGTATGCATTAACCTGCTTAATTTGGGTTTTTTTTGCCTTTCTTAAGGTATTATTTTGAATTTTAATACACTTAGAGCCAGATGAGAAGGAAACAGCTATATTTAGGCACTGTCACAGTGAAATAAGAAAACAATGTCTACTTTATAAAGCAACCTGCTAGTCATATAACTTACCTGCTCTAAATAATAGCTGACATGGGTAGCACACTTCTTGTAAACAAGAGGCAAAAGTATTATTTGTCTAAAAAGTTCTTGTTTCTATTGTTATACAAAATCACTTAAGTGTATGTGGAATAACAATCTATTTTGCACATGTTGTGTTGCCTGGGATAATATCCAGCATTTTAATCAGCTGGCCAGACAGTGGAAACATGATGGATTGGAAGAAGGTTGATAGCTGAAAATTTCTGGCATTCTGTTCTAACTTTCTATTTTCCACATACAGTGCTCTCCAGGTGGATATAATCGTTGACATTAAACCATCTCAACCAGGTGCCAGACTTGTCAGAGATGTTGTACTGATCCTCAAGTGTAAAAAGTCTGTCAATTGGGTTATCAAGTCTCATGATGTCCAGGGAAAGCTGGAAGTGATTGTAAGTTGAGGCACCTTTATTTTTTGAGATATACCATACTGCAACAGTATAAGATCCATTTAAATGTGATGTAGTGCTTGACCATATTGTTTTCTGAATGTTTTCTCTTAGCTGCCTTTTTTATTGTTTATACTGCATTTCAGAAAAAAACTATTTTTTCTCACTAATTTTTAATATATGAACTATTAAACTGACCCACACGTCACAGAAACCAGGTGGTTAGTGCCAGGATTTAAAGTCTATGTCTCTGACTTCTGTTGAAGGACCTTAAACACAGAGTTGCATGTTCATCTCCCTTTTTGCTGTTACTTTGGTAGTGGATCTACAGGTTCATCTCAGAAGTTGGGATGATGCCTGTAAGTGCAGAATGGATAATACTAGATATGTACACACACATATTTTTTACTTCTCCTATTTGTGGTTGTAGTAGTTTCTATCCCTCTGCCCTGCCAGTACTTCTCTCCCCAGTAAGTATTTGGTCAAATTGACCTCATTGCTCTTCTGACCGCAAATAATGTTTTTAAAAAGTTAAAACCAGGATGCCTAAAGCTAAACTTCTGAAATTTCTGGAGAGCTGATTCACATTGATTTTTGCTACAGACTTTGTGGCTCAACACCATTTCTACTAAGAAAATGTGTTTTCTCTTGCTCTGAAATAAATAAATATAATTATACTGATCTTGCAGCCTATAAATGTGTGGCCTATTTCTGTCTAAAGTCATAAGTTAAGAGTACATTGTACAATTGAGCTGAGTGTTTGCTCAGGACCACCCAGTGGCCTCCTGATTAGCAGTTTCGCAGTAATTGAGTTACATATTCAAACTCCAGCCTTGTATTTATAGGAATTTTACTTTGCTTAGTAGCTTTCTGCTTTTAATATGTGCAAGGGCAATTCTGACAGGATCCAAGGGCTGATTGACCTAAACCTTCCAAGAGGACAGATTGGTAGGCAGAATTTCATGCTAATTTTGAGGCTGAACGAAATAAAAGGAAACAAATTTTGGTGTTGCTCAGAAAATTGAATAGAAGAATTGTCTAGGGTGGATGATGAAATTCCCTTTGATCCCTGACACATATTGATCTTACACACAGGAAAAGATGACCTGGTCATTCTGCAGGTTCTAAGTAATCAGTCCTTAAGGAGAAAGGTCAAGGTTAGGTGCTGAAGATTTAGCACTCTTGTAAGCAGAAGGGAAAAAAAAATGCTTGATTAGAAGTTTCATTCTGTGTTATTACATAAAATTCACCTCTGTGTATTTAGACTTATAGAGGTCTACTTTCACAGGATAGAGAATTGTGCTTTAGTTCATTCCATGCTTGGAGATAGCTCAAGTACTGTATTTCTTGTCCATGAAGCTATCACTTCATGGATAATCAATTTTCAGGGAGAGGATTTCTACTGGATGTTAAAGTTCCTAGAATGCTGCACTTGAATATAGAAAAGCAAGGCTGCTGTTTTTGAAGTTCTTCTTTTATTAATTATTGGAAGTATAAGTAAAAAATATAATTAAAAATTCTTTCTGTAATGGATGGCAGAAAGTAACATTTTATTTAGATTAACAAAAAGAGAAAGTAATACTATATATGGAAATGTCAGTATATAAAACTGTATTTGTGTTAGGATTTGTGAGTAACTTTGTTTTACTGCTTCATTTATATAGATGCTTCATTTTCTGAATATGTGCTTGTTCTCCTTTATTTAAAGGAGGTGTGGGAGGGGAATAAACTCCCCTGTGTCATTAAAAAGCCTGCAGAACCAGCATTTAGGATCTCCTCATATCTCTATTAAGCTGAAGGCCTTTCCAAGCCCAAATTTAGACAATGCATAAAAACATTACTAAGCAATTAGGTAATGTTTCACAATGTTCTTTTTATTAGTTGAAGCAGTTCCATGCACTTCAATTTTCCTAACTTCTTGCCCTCAGTACGAATCACAATCGTCTTGAGGGGATTGGCAAACTGAGAGGGAAAGGTTAGTGCTAAGCTGCCTCAAACCCAGGGCTGTGAGTTACTGGGGTCTAAGTTCACAGACAAAAATGAAAAAGACATTGTAGGTCCTGTAGCTCATCTCCCAGCTTGCTGTGTTTCTTGACACTCTGAGAGAGGATGGATACAAACCCAAGAACAATGGCAATAGTTTAGGTGAAGTAATTGCACCTAATGTATGGGCAGTGCTTTCCTCGAAGCTGTGTTTAACTCCTGTGTGCAGTCTGTCCTTAACAGCAGCCCTCATGCAGCTCTTGTGTGGGTCTGTGCCTGTGGACTGTTTGCTGTGCATGTTGGTTTCTTTGGGTTGGGTGTCCCTTTGCAAAGCTGGGAACTGCACAATGAAGTTGCAGAAAGAAAAGTGTGTTGAGGGATGAAGACTGAGAGAGGTGAAATGCACAGAACTAACCAGTGAGGGTTTCAGAAGCTTGGAGGGACTGTTCTTTACATGAGAATGCTCACTGTTTCCTGAAATGGAGACACTCTATTCTGAGTAGGTTAGTGAGGGCTCTGATTGCCTGGTTTCAAGCACTGTGTGTGAAGGTGTTGGCAGGGCAGGCAAGTGAAGGACAGCCTATTCCTGCAGGCCTGGGTTCTCGGTTTGTCTCACTGAGGCAATGCAGGACTGGACATTTACAGGCTCAGTGTGGAGTGGAGTGGTATAAACAAACTTTGGAAATGCTCAGGTGCCAGCTAGGACAGTAAAATTCTGCGATAATATTTGTTCAGCTGTCTCTTCATAACAAAAAAGGAAAGGAAAGCTGAGAGAGGGATGCAGCAAAGTTGGGGTAGCATAATGATTCCAACCAGCCAAAGCTATGTGGTAATATGAAAATATGTGATCAGTTGTGTCCAGATGTGCATCTGTAGAAGATCAAAGATTAATTGACCCAAAACAGTCATAAGGCACTAAAATTAGGATACCTATTGCTCCATTTTTGTTTCTTATCTTCAGTGGCCTTTGCTGGTCATTGATAACTGTATCCTCAGACCAGATACTGCACCTAAAATTATCTTAAGTTGTGTTTAAAGGCTGCAGAACTGGGTCTTTATGAAGAAATGAGGGAGAGAGCTGAAGGCAAAGTATGTCAGTGCATCTGGACTCTCTACACGCTTTATTCACTTCTTCGTTCAAATGTTGTTTCTGGTGTCAGGGAGAGAAGTGCTGCCAAGCTGTGACCTGTGTGGCATGTCCATACAACCAGTGTCTAAATGAGATCAGTACAGTCATATTTTGATGTTCTAGAGTGAAAAAGAGTAAAGATTTGTTCACATTGAGAAAAACCAATGGGGCTGAAAAAACAATGCAGCCTGTATGATGGAGAAGATAATTGAGCATGGAAATGAAAGTGTCTGTGGAACATTCCATGGCATGAGCTGTATTAGAAAGTGTAATTCAATCACATCACAGAAATTGTTGAAAAGTGGGTCATCATGCCTTTCCTGCAGTGTCTGTGTTCAGCCTGCTCTGCTGCCATCAATGTGATTGTTATGACAATAGTAATGTTGTGAGTGTAAAAATAAATAAATATGTATTTATCTTTGTGTGAATACATGTTTAAGATGCCAAGCAGTTAAATGCAAGTTAAAGCGTAATACTAGTGAATATTTTCTAACTGCCCCTCTAACAGCTAGAGGTACTTGTTATATTCCTTTGACTTGCCCATTTGGACAAGAAAATCTGGAATTTTGCAAAATATTTACAGGAAAATGAAAACTGTGTGACTCATCTGTGTTCCATGACCAACTTTTGAGGCATTATTTTTAATTATTTAATAATTAAAAAAATTACGAGATCAGTTAAGTGCATTTATGAGTTTGCTGTATTGATGCATTTGTGTGAAACTTGTTAATTAAATTTTAAATTTGTGTGCTCTCACTGTTCTATTAAACATTTAATTCAATCCTGTGTAACATACCCAACATTTTGCAAGAGGCACAGAGCATTTCTAGGATGCAACTCATTCAGACACAGCCTGTCCTTGGTGCCAGCTGACTTTAAAGCATTAGCTGGTATCAGCTCTAGCTCCCGAGCATGCTGCTTTGCCTTTTTCAGTAATGCTCATTTGAACAAAAGTTTTCCCTTATACAGCTTAAGTAAGGCTCTAATCAAAGAAACAAATGGGACATTTGAAAAAACAGTTGTCATCCTGAGCACACCTCACCTCAGAAGTAATTTCAGCTCAGTTTTGAAGAAAGTATGGCATTATCCAAATGGCTATAAATATGTCTTTGTCTCGTTTAGGGATTAACAGTTTCTGACTACCTTGATTTATTGACTCCAGGCAGAGGCTGGGAGGAAGCAGGGCACTTTTTCATACATGTGCAGCAGTTCTATGCCTAAGGTGGTATTGGTTCATTTCCCAGGTGTCTTCAGTTTTCTGCTATTTAATAGAGTAAAACATAATTAAAAAAAAACAGATTCAGTCAGTGTCACTGTTCTGTTTTAAGATTACTTAAGTAGTAAATCATGAACCAAGTTTTTTTTTGTTTGCAGACATCAAATAGTATTGGTTTTGGAAAGGAAACAGAACGATCCATGACTATGAGTAAATCAGTAATACCTGATATTCCCTCATCGCATGAGAGTTTGATCAAGTGGGCTTATGAGCACAACTATAGTCCAGTTACTTCCTACACAAAAGCCTCTGTTGCTAACAGATTTCATCTGCAGCTTGAAGATACAGGTGAGTTGAAGATGGACTTTTAGCATGTAGAAAAAATATATCTTGTGTTTCCAGGAATACAATGACTTTAAAGATATTTTCTCAGTTTAGAAGGTTTGTTTTGGGGAGTTGCACTGCTTTTACTGCTCGTCATCAAGAATGCTGGTAATAGCTATGAATACTGGTTAAAAATAATAATCTGTAGCTTTTTGATTGGAAAAGTCCAGGCAAGTTGTGTTATTTTCTGAAATATTAGTGGAATTAAATATTTATAGCTTATCCAGCTCACAAGATGGTACAGCCAACTGTACTCAGTGTTCACTGAAATGGTCTTCAGCAACTGGATATCTAATAAATAATCTAATAAATACAGCTCTTTTTTTGCTTCTCTTTTCGAAAGTATGAGCACAGTGTTTTCTTGAGACAAATAAACATTTAAGTTGTTTACAGTCATGATTGGCTTATCAAAAAATTCTGAGCAAACGGAATAAAGACAGCCATTAACAAAAATTAGTTATTTGGCCCAGGTCATGGCTGATATAAAGATATCTGGGTCCATTGAAGCTAGCAGAGTTGCATCTGGGTTTTTTTCACTAATTGTGAGTTTCAACCACTAAAACTATTGTTTCATCATTTTGATGATACTTATGTTTGCATTAATTTTCTCAACTGCACTTGCATGGGTTACAGGTAATTATCTGCTCGGGCCAGATGTGGAGATTTCTGTCCTGAGCAGTCACCTGTGTAAGCCAGGAGATAGTTTTCTCATTTACTCAGTATAAAGTTAACTCTTATTTAGCTTCACTCGGGTTATGCAAGTGTTTTCACATAAGCAGAGTGACTGAATTTGTGATGAGTCAAGTAACGGAAGAATTTCACTCGGTGATTTGCGCTTAGGCTGTTTCAGCAGCACTAAAATAGTGATGTTTCCTTTACCTCTGTGGTTGTTCTGCATATAATAGGTTCACTCCTCAAAGTTTATTTTCTGCTCTTAGTGAGGGAGATTTCTAGCGGGGACTAAATATACCAACATCAGATGCCTCAGTAACAACTAAACCCTTAGTTGGAGGACTTGTGGCTAGTTACCTGGAAAGTACAAAGATGCTCCTTTGAATGTCCTTTAGGAGCTTCCTTTCTTGATAGTATTTTTGGTATGAAAATGGTTTGTTCTGGATACTTTTAAGGAAAAATATCTAAGAAACTAATGGTTTTGTTTGTTGGATTTTTTTGGTTTTTTAGAAGAGATGAATGATGAAGAAGACCATTCCCTTCCTCCAGAGCTGACAGAATTGCTGGGTGCTAACCCACTGCCTGCTCCAAAGAATCCTGCATTAAGTGATGGCCTGACTTTTCCATTTCACATTAACAGAGGAAGACATGACACAGTGGGAGAAGAAATCTTCCCATCCAGGCATTCAGTAGATACATTAATAAATCATGCCTTTGGGCATTCCCTCTCAAAACACAAAGAACCAGAAGAGGTTCAGGGCAGTGCTGATGTGGCCCTGTCAATAAAGTGTGATGACAAAGTCATGACAGTAGCTGTAGAAAAAGACTCTCTACAGGTTGGTGTGATCTCTTATTCTCAAATTTGGGCAGACTTTTTTTGGGCCAGACCATTTTATTTGCATTTTGATTGAAAAAATAAACATTCTAAGATCTATAGCCGTCACCACCCAAGCCCCCAAAAATAGTTTGGTGAGGAACTGTTTCGTAGATATTCTTTGCCATAACTCAGAATTATGTCTCCTCTTCCCAACAATCCAGTGGTTTTTGGAGGGATTTCTGATTGAAGCTTTGCAGGGTTGGTTCTGTTAGAACATTACTGTACTCAACCATCAGTCTGAGTTTTTAATTTCCGAAGTGCAAAGAAGCTGTTTTTGATAGCAGTGTGAGACCTAAATAGATCTGTCTTTACCATCTACCAGCTGACAGGTTGCTTGTGTCCATTTGTATTGTGGAAAAGAGCCTGATTCAGACAGCATTTCAGACCAAACAGAGTCAGCATTATTAATCAGCAGATTAATAATGAACCGGTTGTTTTCTTTGTTCCATGTTACATTTATTCCCTGTCTGTCATGTACAACAGTATTTTGAGTGACCTTCCCTGGATGTCAGTACAATGAACTTCACTTCCTCTTATCAGCAGTCACGAACAGTTCTCTGAACTGCACTTTAAGCAAGAGCTGAACACAATTGTGTTTCAGCCACTCACAAAGTGCCTTTGTTTCAGGCCAGTGGCTACACACGGACAGAGCTCTCGCTGCTGGATCACTCGTGCAAAGCCAGGATGAATGGGACTCATTTCATTTTGGAGTCTTTGCTGAACAAATGCGGAACTCGGACAGCATATATCTTGAACAAGATTGTTTATTTTAACTCTGTGAGTATTTTACAAAGAGGATCTGCCTTCTGCACAGCACATCATAGTGCTACAAGGAAGCCATTGTAGTTGGCTTTAGTCTTAGAAAAAGGAGGCATCCTGATCTTTTCCTGTCCAGCTCAAACCGAGTTGCAGCCACAGTCCCCGTATTCAGGGAGGTATGAAGGCTGCACATTCAGCGTGCTCCTGTGGTCAGCTAGTATCCCAAAGGAAAAAGGAGTTGGAGTTAAATATCTTTTACAGAACTGCATGGCAGCTCTTGGAGACCAAGTGTACCAGTCTCAGAGAATTTGCACCAGCTTTCCCTATGCAACTTTGGTGCATCCATACATAAGCAGTACTACATTGCTGTAAGGAGGAATAGGAATGAAGTTTTGTGATTGCAGAAAGCAATACCATTGCATTCATAGGCTGAACTATTTTAAGTGAATTTTATTTCTAAAATTCTGTGTGAAAAAGGCTTTTAAAATGTAAGGAAAAGACACTATTTGTGTATGCCTTTCTCTTAGAATTTGAATTTGTATTTTATATCAGTTGATGTGTGCATTGAAGGGACTCTTGAGTGCTCATCTATGGGTGACGGTGCGAAGGAGTCCTGCTAGGCTGTAAGTGACTGCTTCCAGACTGACTCAGCTTGTGAGCCTGAGTACAGTGCAGCTAATCTGGATTGGAAAGTGATGACACATTTCTCTTGCTGAGCTTTCCAGTGCATAGAAGTAACCTTGGCAAATGGTGGAAAGCCTGTGGTCCAACCCAAACACAGCTAAGGCAGTCTGATCTGACCTTGCCTTAAGATTATTCTATACTGGTAAGTTGATAGCACCTAACTTTAGAAATGGTCCCAAACCAGGGCTGTGGATAGAATCATGGCAAACTACAGAACAGCACGTCTGGAGCTAAATATTGTCATTGTTCCTATATTATGGCCCAAGCTAAAATGGTTATTTGCCTCTTCTTCTTTCCCCATCATGACTTTTCATAGTCTTGGCTACACACTTGAACTCCAAGTCATTGTATTTTTTAGCATTTGGTAGCATTTCTCCTCAAAAATACACACCATGCAGTGGTGTGTCAAAGGGTGTGTATATGTCACTTTTTAGCAGTTGCTCTGTCTAAGAAAACAAAGTTGAAGTCTTGGAAGGGAGGGAACTAACTGAGGAGCTGCAAGGCATACAGGAGCAGAGTGCAAAACATCGGGAAACAAAACCAGGAATTTGCAGTTGAACTAATGGAGAAGTGTGCAAAGGACAGAAAAAAAGTGGGAATTCAGTATAAATTTATTGAAAAACAAAGAAGGGAAAAGTGAAGAAGGGGCATAATGGTTTTGGGTGGATATCTCTGGGGGAAAAAAAAGCAAATGACAGAAGAGAAAATACTTTAATGACCTTAACACTTGTAGTGAATTTTCATGAGTGCATTAAGTTGCAAAAAATCACTTTAGAAAGCTATTTCTTTTTTTGATGTTGGTTATAGAAATACCAGAAATAGAACGGAAATGCTAGGCTGCTCATTCAGACACCAACACCCAGACTGGTGTCTTTGCTGGCTCTGAATTCTGGAAAAAAAACTAAGGGGCATTCTCTAAATATAAGCTACATATCCTACATGCTCTGCATAAGGCTGTTTAAGACATGCTTTCACCATCTGCTTAGCTGGTGCTCTTCTTTTGGCCTTTGCATTGTTCTGAAGAGAGAAGAAAATAATAACCATGAAGAGAGAGTGCTCAGTTATCACCTAATCTAATTTGTTTGCAACACCTTTTGTGCAGATTGTCATTCAGCTGTCATCACCTGCTGAAGGCAGTGGCTTTGATGATGATGACATGGAATCAGGTGATAATGGATTTCCAGGAGATGCTGATGAGGCAGATGTTGCTTTCTCGAGCTGGCCTGAGATAGCGGTATGTTACTCTTGGGTTTGCACCTGACAAGAGAGAAATACCTATTGCAATAGGCATTTCACTTAAATTGCATTAATTGTATAGGAATTCATTTGTCTTTCAACACATTTCTCTTCACTGCTGTTCCTTGTGACCCCGTTGAAGGTTTACACTAAATAGACAGAACGTGGGTGGGCCTGTATTGTGCATACCACATTTGTATTTATCCAGCAACCACTCCTGACTCAGGGTGTTACTGTATTTCTTTTTTATTTCAGTTTAATTGCACGCTGCACCAGCCAGAGGATGACAGAGGCATGTTCTGGCCCTCTGAACCACACATCACCAATGTGACCTTCAACATGGAGCTGTACAAAACAGATTTGTTCCTAGCTCCCTCCCAAGGACTCTTCTCTGTTGCTGAGAATGGGCCAATATATGTAGAGGTAACAAACTGAAAAAGGCTTTCAAATTAACAAACATTTTGGAAGGCTGTGCCCTGAGCCAGATCTGCTCTTGTCAGTTGAAAGGTCTTGTTTGGCAGTTGGTTCAGGCAGACAGGTAGGTACTTTGGTAGCTGCAGAGAACAGAAAATGTGAGGTAAGAAGTAGGACAATATTTTGGACAAAACCCAAACATTCTTGCAAAATGGATTAATTTAACTTACAAGGTAAATTGGTGATTCCATCAAATCTGCTTTTCAGTGTAGAACTTAACGGTGGTCTCTGAGCTCTTGCGCGCTGAACTGGCGTATCCTGATGAAGACTTCAGGGTTTATTTTATTTCTTAATATGTCTGAACCTCATCTGAAAGATGTAGACATGGGGAAAAAAATTACTAGTGTGTGTTTTTCATATACTAGTGTTAGTTTTAGTGCTGGTGTTAGTGTTTGATAGCTAGTGCTAGGTTATACAGTTAATACAGATTCTGGTCTTTCTCCAGTCAGCTTTAAAACATCAGTTACAATCCTCTTGAATGCTAACACTCGGGATATAACAGCTTTAGGTGAATAAGACTAAAAATCAACAGCCAGGTACCCTTGACTTCAGGTGTGTTTTGCACATGATAATATTTCCATGTGTTGTTGAGTTGCTTATGAAATCTGGGGAATTTCAAACCAATGCAGTCAGTATTTCTAAAGATAGCCATGAGAAAAGAACTTTGGATTTTTCAAATAATGGTAGGCATTAATAGATGCAACATTGGCAATGAAGAAGTATCACCAGTTTATAGATGAGTAAATCACAAGGTATGAGCTATAGGCTTAGAAGACCAGGAGAAAGAGTATATTGGCTAAAGGAGTGCTGTGCCATGTTCTTCTTGCCCAAGTGAGTTCCTCTTTGTGAGCCCACATGGCAAATAATAAGCATTTGACCCATTCGACATTGGTGCAGTTTTCTTCATGATTTCAATATATTATGTCTCCTCGTTCTCTACCCAGTGAGAAGTACTTAAGACAGTTGAAGCAAAAAGAAAGTATGTCACACTCTGTTAAGAATATGTTTATAAAGGCACTTCTTTTTTTTCATCTGGATAAAACCATCTGCTTCCTTCATTGATCTGGGATGAATCCCCCCGGCTCTGAGCCCTCTGGATTTGTCTGGTTCTGGAGCTGTTTACTCAGACAGATGTTCTGATTTCTTCATCACCTGTCTTGGCAGAAGCCTGGGGTTTTTTTCCCTGTTTTTATTTCTTGCACAGTGGAAAATGTATCTGTTTTGAAGTTCTGTGACTCCTTTTTTTCTCTGACACAGATAATTCACTTTTTTCCTTTTTTGTTTCTATTTTACTTTTGTTATTAACAAATATATTTTGATTGATAGATCATAATCTGTAAAAACTCTGTCTCCCTTTTCCTTCTCTGCTAAAGATGTTTTTGTGTTTGAATCTTTTGGGTTGTTTTATTTCTTTTTATTTCTTCTCTGCTGTCATTTTTGTATCATAGTTTAGTCTCACCTTCCTCCTGCCTTTTCTTTCCTTGAGATATCATTCATCCTTTTATTTAATGAACTATAGTGTGCCTGTTCTTCTCATAATCTCCTTTTTAACTAGTTTACACTGTCAGCTTGTTTCCTGTCAGTACCTGTGGCTGACTTTCATTCATCCATCTTTATATCTGTTCTTTTTAGAAGACGGTCTTTCTTGCTTAGATACTTCAGCACATCCCTTCATCTCTAATTTGATTGCTCTTCACATAAGGGAGAGAAAAAACGAGACATGCCTTTATTTATTGCACAACTCATAGCATCCAAAAATTACTGCATAAACCTCAGGATTTGGCAGACTCTCCCTTAAAGATACATGCAGTACATATGAATTAAGTGCGCCTATAAAGTGCATTTCTTCTAAGAGGAAAATAATTTCTTGTGGAACTGTTTCATTGGGCAGTGTTAATGGTTAGACACAACACTTCTGTTGTTTATTAAGAACAACGTGCCTCGTTCGTTACAAATTCCATTTATTTTTTCTTCTAATTATTCTGTAGCATTTGTTGCCTGCATTCCAGTCAGCTGAGCAACATCAGGGCCTTGGAAATTTGCAGTCTTAATTATTTTTCATAAAAGAGTATGAATTTCAAACTTAGAATAAACTAAAAGGATCCTTTCACAAGAAAATACGGCTTTTTAGGAAACGTGCCTCGTTCGTTACAAATTCCATTTATTTTTTCTTCTAATTATTCTGTAGCATTTGTTGCCTGCATTCCAGTCAGCTGAGCAACATCAGGGCCTTGGAAATTTGCAGTCTTAATTATTTTTCATAAAAGAGTATGAATTTCAAACTTAGAATAAACTAAAAGGATCCTTTCACAAGAAAATACGGCTTTTTAGGAGGATCCCTTACTCCAGTCCAGGAA